CCTGCTGAAGAAAAGTACACGCACATGATTTTGTTTTATAAAAGATTGCCTCTTACCTGGTAATATGAACTGCTTGGCTTTATCCCAGCTTTCAGGAGACAACTGAAACAAAGATAAAACATTTTTCCATGGTTCTTGTATGCAAACATAACTTCATAATCATCAGGTAAACAGATAATCTTAGTGAGAACTTGGCAAGCATTACAGCAATGGGGAGCAAGGGAAATTTGTCTTCCATCCTTCGCCTGGCCTAGGAAACGTTCCCCTTTTCTGAAGGCCACTTCCCATCCAACTCAGCAGGGTCAGGAAGAACCCTCTCGCCCACCTTAATCTGAGGAGCTGGGAGAGTCTAGTCTTCAGACACAGCTAGGGGAAAGGGCAATATTACTGTTATTTGCTGGACGTTCAGAATGCTCCATTGAGTGCCAGGTAGGGCATGCAGTTTAATTGCCCCCTTTCCCCTGCCTTGAGCCATACCACTCTGCTCTGGCCACCGGGAGGGAATGGAGGCAGACTTGTGAGGTTGCTCTAGGCACCCTCATGTTCTAACACAGGGTGGGCTTGCTGGGGTGGGAGGTGCACAGCATACTGGGAGAGGGACATGGTGCATCGATCTGGATCAACATCAGGGCAGAAACGTTTCCTAATGAATAAGTTTTTGAAGAGGAAAGGTTGTTCACATAAGAGAAACAAGGTAACTCTCACGAACCTCTAGCCTATATACCCCCTTCCTTTAGATTCAGTCCTAAGGGAAGTCCACACTTCAAAGCCGACAACAAGACTCAGGACCCAATAGGTGCCGAGTCTCTAAGTCCCAGCTTCTTCCGTAAGGAGTGGGAATGTTCAGCATTTCACAGGATTTAATCCATGAGTGCTGATAATGCCCAACCCTTCCAAGGTCAAGTTCTGCACAGGGAAGATTTAACCCAGTTGACTAAAGGTCTATCTGTTTGTCATAGTCATTTAACAGTGGATATAAGGAGGCCAATGAAATCAATGATGTTCTGTTATTCTTACAGGAGCCTGCATGATGTCCTCTTTTTAATAATTTCCTGTTTGGAAACAATCTTTTAATCACTAACGCTACTTTTTCCTCATTCAAGTATAAATGAAGTACAATGAGAACTTTAGTAGTCTTTACTCTTTTCAGTAAAGATTAAATTAATTATGTTCATTTTTACAATGGAGAATATGCTCTGAGCAATTAATTTCAACATGCTTCAGTCTCTACTCTTTTTCGGTGTTACACATGCTGATATAGAGTCACATAATTGGTCACTGTGCCATCTGTAAAATGTTTTCGTCGCACCATCACAGCTACTTAGGCAATTGACTTATCAGACATTATTAATTTTAACACTACATATGACATGCTCTTAAGCACTGTGTCTAGAAAAACCTCATTAAGTTTTACAAGACACCTACAAAAATAGGAGGGGGGGTAGGAGAAAGACATTTCCTTTGTGCATATGCAAACTGAATGAGACTTTGTTAGGAGATTGCTTGGACAAGACACTGACAGAAGGTGAACAGGATTTTTTAAATTTTTTTATTTAAGATATGTGTCTAGATAAAAAAAGAACTTATTTCCTCTCTCAGATACTGTCGTCTTACACAGAGAGACAATGCATGGTCAACAAATCCGAGTCAAACATTCTCCCACCCAAACCAAGCACTGATGAGGAAAGGACTCTGGCCTTCTGGCATTCACCTGCAGCCAGAATGTGTACATACAGTGCTTGGACAAGCCACAACATTCCCATCAAGATTTTGTATCTTTGGAACCATGAGGAGGAATCAGCCCCTAGGACAAAGCAAGAGTGTCACATCAGGGTTGTTTGAAAGGCCAGCAGAGAGCTGCCTGCAGCCACTGA